ATTTTTACTATTGTAATATGTTATTATATATCTCATAATATGAAAGCAATTATTATAATTGGTATTATTATGAGTAACTGGTTTCATTGAATAGGCTAAGAAGTAATTAGTATAGACATATCATAACAATATTAGATACTAACAAAGTTTGATGTTTTAAGGATATTTTTTAGGACAGTCCCTAAATGTGTCCAACCCATATGCACGGTTCTTTTGTCAAGTAACATTAAGACCTTATCTTCCTTGTTGTGTATAAACTGGCTTTGTCCTTAGGAAAAAGACACCTAAAAAAATGTGTGATGCACAAAGTAAACCATTAGAACAAAAACTTCACTGGGGACCAATGTATGTTCTTCCATAACTCCTATGCAAATTTCTATCTTTCAGTACATTTCTGATATGCAAGGAACATCAATAATAAAAAATACCAATTGAAAAGTATATGAACAACGTGTGAAGTGATCTAATCTTTTTGTTTTACTGATTTCTTACACAGACACTTGTTCATTTTTGTTTCTTTTTTACACGTATTGGATCGTTCACAGCTGAAGATTTCAAAATCTTCCATCTCTCTTTCCACAGAATTAAGAAGTGAAATAATAGAAAACAATGTAAAAGAAAAAAAAAACAGGGAGAAGTATTTAATGAACAAACTTACAGTTAAACCTACAATTGACACGTATAAAATGTATAAGATGTTTCACGTGAATTTGTAACATGCGTGCATGTATTCTAAAATACATTAAATTTTGTTTTATACATCTTCCTTAACGTAACAAGCAGTCAATTATTGGTGTCGGTGATTAAGTGGCCTTCTCCGTGGAAAGGAACTCGTGGTGGTGCTTTTCCTAAACATCCAAATTTCAAAACCTAGCTAAGTTTGTAACAAAATTAACAAATTTATCGACGTTATTCGAGTGTTGTTCTAATTGAACATTTTTCTAGAAATAACTACGTAACAATAACAAATAGTTAGAGAATCCGTGATCTGCTAAATTTATCAACTTATCTTCTACTTGTTGAAGTTGACCGGTCATCAACTAAACTTTAGAGGAAAAGAGAAAATTAATGGGATTTTGGTCAAATATTTAAGATAAGGGATTTATTCAATTTTTTTAATTTAATTTTTATTTTTGCACTATACTCTCGTATGACCAGTGAGCAAAGGATTAAACGCGTTACTAAGTTTAATCAATTACGTGAAGACGATGATCGACCAGCATAAACATTAAAGAATTTTAAGTACAATCTATAATAAAGCTTAAAAGTAAAGTATATTTATCAAGTATTAGATAGTGATTACTACAGTATCATTTATAAGTTCATCTCGAAATCTATAAATATGAATTTGAGGTAAGAAAACAAGTGATTGTATTTATTGTAAATTTAAGAATTTACTGTGATATCTCATAAATCAAATTACTTACTTGAAATCTCCGCGGCTTAAAGTTAAAACAACAAAAATTTAAGAAAACTCGACAATAAATACTTAGAACTACGAGTGACAAGAAAAAAATGTGAAAAAGAGTATTTGATTATGATTTCTAACCCCACACATGAAACAATTTTATTTTAAAAAATTTAATATAGTTTCTTATATTAAATTGGAAAAAAAAAATTAACAACTTTTTTTGAAACGCATATATGGTGTTCAGAATCACTAATAATTTTCTAAATCGTGTTAACACCGATTTAAGTAAAGATATAAGAGTGAGTCTTGATTCTGGCATTGATCATACACAACACAGTAGTAAGCCTAAATAAAAAGGAAAGGAAAATGATACTTGAACAACCATTTTTGACAACATTTAGACACCCGCACACGTGTCAAAATCTGAGTGGTCCAGTTGGAAAAATTAAATGAAAATGGACCACTCAGATTTTGACACGTGTGCGCGTGTCTAAATGTTGTCAAAAATAATTGTTCAAGTATCATTTTCCAAAAGGAAATGGCAGTACAGAGTAGCTTTATTTACAAGCTACCATAAATGGTGAAAAGTCAACATATGCGATCCCTTCAATTTTGCACCAAAAACAGAGGGACAATAACTGGGACTAACAAACTCTTCCAAATCCTTCATTTCCCAATTAACTAAACAGTGCAGAAATTAATCACGTTGTCCATTAAACTAATCCCAAAATAAGTGCTTTTGCGCAGCTCCAAGTACAAGACCTCGTTTAGATAACAAAGCAAAAGACAGACACAAGAGCGTAATAAGCACGTTTTTTCCTGCTCTTTCTGCTTTTAGAAGCTGCAACTTTCAAAATTTAGTTTATATATTTACATTAATTGCCAACGCGTTCATTGCTGGAGCCAAAAAGACATCAACCACATGCACTCATCAATTCATTACACAGATCCCTACTGTTCTTTGCTTTCACCCTCTCAAACAACTTGCATTCATATTTTCATTTTACATTGCACTTTCTTCCCATCTACATTTCCGACCCACCAATCTTTAACCACACATGCCACAAAATCTAAGATCTGCATCCATCACAACGTTGTCAAAAACTCTCCAAAACACAAGTCAAAACCACTTTCCTTAAAACCACTGATTTTCCAATAACCTGTTATTTTGGAGAGTATGAAACTCTCTGCGCAGAAAGCTCTCAGAATAATACATTTCGATACTGAAGTTATCAAAACCCAACACTGTACTTTTTCAAATAGATTACAAAATCTTGTGTCCAAATAACTGCTAACAAGATATTACAAAATCAATGATTAAAAAACAGATACTGCAAGTGCCCTAAATCAAGGACCAAAATCAAATTATTTAAATGGGTATAGACAGAAAAAAAAAAAATCATTCAACAGGGTCTGATTGCATAAGATGAAGAAATATCATTATACAAATATGAGGACTTGGGTGCATCTGTTTGAAGGTCGTATCTTCTGTCAGCTGCACTGGTTTGGACACACTGGCCCATAACTTTCCCATTGAAGAAGAATACAAAAAATGTAATTTCAAGATGAATGGGTGTATACACAAAAGTAGTGACAAAATTGGTCAGACTAATTCGATAAATAAAAAATAACAACATAAATTTTCCTTATTAATTTTCCCTTGGTGTGTTATTATTCTATCTCACCATTATTAATTTTATTATTTATCCTAAACTGTTCTGATTAACAATCTCTATAGACAGAAGAATCCAACACAGACGAACACATTTGTCTTCTGATGACATAATTAAGATCGTAATTACTCACACCGCGTTGGACCATCGCGAAGTCCCAGAACGACCTCGGGGAAGAGCCACCGGCCTCGGGTATGGACTCCGACGAAGCGACCAGATCAACATTCTTATTCTTCAAAACGAACCCGCTCCCGCCAACGAGCTGACTCAGTATGGCGTACTCGGTCACGGGGTTTTTCCTCTTCCTGTGCTGCGTGGCAGCGCGGACTATCTCCACAGCCATGGCGCCGGAGAGCCGCCGCACGCCGCGAGCGCCGCCTATTATAACGGAGGACAGAACAACCCGCTGCGTTTTCTTGCCGTGTTTTTCTTGTTTGGAGAATACAAGGACCGAGTTGGGGCCGGGAGTTTTGAGTCGGGCGAATGGGTCTTTGAGAATCAAAAGGGTTTTGACGTCGGCGAGGATCACGTGTTTGAAGGTGCGTCTGACGCGGCCGAGGAGCATGGGGTAGCAGGCCCAGCGGCGGAGAGAGAGAGGAACGCGGTCGAGGAAGCCGGCGAGCGAGTTCTCCGGGTCAAGCTCGGAGGCGTGGAAACTGAGGACCGATCCGTAACCGAGCGAGGAAGCGGTTAAGTTGGTTTTTGTCTTGGGACCCCAAAGAGGTTCCTTTTGTTGCTGCTGATGTTGTCTGAAGCGATTGGGGTGGAACGAGGACTTGGGGAGCTGGCGCAAGCGCGTGGAGTTGAGGCGGGCGTGGAGATGGAGCAGAGTGGAGAAGGCGTGGTTCTCTTGGGAGATAATGGGGGTGAATTTGGAGGAGGAGGAAGGGGAGGGGAAGAGGAAAACGACGTCGGAAGAGGCGGTGAGGTAGGAGCGGTGGAGGAGGCGGAGGAAGAGGCGGAAGTCGTCGAGTGGAGTGTCGTCGGGGACGTGGGAGATGAGAAGGTCGGACATGGATTTGGTGCCTCTTCGGTGGAGCGTGCCCATGCGTTGGAGCGCGAAGGGTGTGTGAAGGGTGTGTGAAAGGGCGTGTGAAGTGGGTTTTGTGGTGAGGGAAGCGTTGGGGAAGGTGGAGAGAGTGAAGAGGAGGAGCGTGGTGAAGAAAAGAAGAAGGCAAATGGAGATGGTTGATTGTGCTTTTGATAAGAGGGTTTTGGAAGGGGAAAGCAGGGTGAGTTTGGGTTTGTCGGTGATGCTCGATTTGTTGTCTTGGGAGAACAACACCAGAAGCATACCCATACCTATGCCACTGCTATTGTTATTGTTGTTGCTGTTGTTGTTCATGTTTGGTTTTGTAACTGTCATTGTTGTGTTTGATGATGTTCTTCTGCTATGCCTATGCCTGCATTGCTGCTTCTCCTTCTTCTTCTTCTTCAAATGGTTGAAAATGGTGGGTGGAGAACTTGCGAGACTGTTCGCTCATTTGCTTTGCTTCACACAGCCTCTCTTTCTTCTTTCTCTCTTTTATCTCTCTTACTCACTTATACTCTCATTTTTTTAATGAACACCTTAAAATATTGTTTGATTGATGATTGCTGGTATTAGACTACACAAACTACAGTTATAAAAGAGTTAGATAGCTATTAATGATGACAAATTTGGTTTGGTTTAGGTACTTTTTATCTTTTGCTTTTATAATTATGGTTAACTTTTCTTGTTTTCTTTTAAGATTTAAATATCCATATTTTCCAAATTAAAAACGCTACGATATGATTTAGGCTAATTTTGTATTTCTGACATTACTCTTTCTATATTTTCTTTTTCACGTTTTGGTTTTTAAAATATATACGAAAATTTTGGTTTCATATTAAATTGTTCATACATAGATTTTTTTTCTTATATTTTAATTAATTAAACTATTTCGTACCTGTGTGTATTAAATGGATATAATAAAGTTACGAAAGAAAAAACAATTGCAATTAAGTTTATTTCTGAATAATTGATATGCTTCTTTTTCTTACAGTGTAACATTTAATGACGTAAATATTTTATTAATATAGTACAAAATATTTAATGGTTTTTTTTTATTATTTTAAGATGTTTAATTAATCATATATTGTAATTTATATGTCAAAATTTGTATGATAAACTACGATTCTTTATATTATGGAAAATTAAAACTATAGATTATAATACTGTGTGTAAAAAAAAGGTACGCTTCAATTTTTTTTCTTCTTTTTTGTTATGTAGTCGTAAATTTGTTATAATTTACATTCTTCATAATAAGAAAAATGCTCACTTTATATGTTTTCTAAATGCCACATGTTTCTTCCGTCGCATATTTATCTCATGTATTGAAATAATTTTATTCAAATAACTTCATTCCTTCGATAAGTGAATTATTTTTATTTAGACATAATGAGCATTTTTTTTAGGAAAAAAACAAAATAGAAAATTGATGCTTGGTTGAAAATTCGAAAAACATTAATCACTTTATTTTTTTTAAAGGATAAAAGCTACATAGTATTAAATTGGATTTTTTATTATGAGAAATTATAACTACTTGTATATTTTTTATAATTATTAAGTAAATATCNAAAAAAAAATCATTCAACAGGGTCTGATTGCATAAGATGAAGAAATATCATTATACAAATATGAGGACTTGGGTGCATCTGTTTGAAGGTCGTATCTTCTGTCAGCTGCACTGGTTTGGACACACTGGCCCATAACTTTCCCATTGAAGAAGAATACAAAAAATGTAATTTCAAGATGAATGGGTGTATACACAAAAGTAGTGACAAAATTGGTCAGACTAATTCGATAAATAAAAAATAACAACATAAATTTTCCTTATTAATTTTCCCTTGGTGTGTTATTATTCTATCTCACCATTATTAATTTTATTATTTATCCTAAACTGTTCTGATTAACAATCTCTATAGACAGAAGAATCCAACACAGACGAACACATTTGTCTTCTGATGACATAATTAAGATCGTAATTACTCACACCGCGTTGGACCATCGCGAAGTCCCAGAACGACCTCGGGGAAGAGCCACCGGCCTCGGGTATGGACTCCGACGAAGCGACCAGATCAACATTCTTATTCTTCAAAACGAACCCGCTCCCGCCAACGAGCTGACTCAGTATGGCGTACTCGGTCACGGGGTTTTTCCTCTTCCTGTGCTGCGTGGCAGCGCGGACTATCTCCACAGCCATGGCGCCGGAGAGCCGCCGCACGCCGCGAGCGCCGCCTATTATAACGGAGGACAGAACAACCCGCTGCGTTTTCTTGCCGTGTTTTTCTTGTTTGGAGAATACAAGGACCGAGTTGGGGCCGGGAGTTTTGAGTCGGGCGAATGGGTCTTTGAGAATCAAAAGGGTTTTGACGTCGGCGAGGATCACGTGTTTGAAGGTGCGTCTGACGCGGCCGAGGAGCATGGGGTAGCAGGCCCAGCGGCGGAGAGAGAGAGGAACGCGGTCGAGGAAGCCGGCGAGCGAGTTCTCCGGGTCAAGCTCGGAGGCGTGGAAACTGAGGACCGATCCGTAACCGAGCGAGGAAGCGGTTAAGTTGGTTTTTGTCTTGGGACCCCAAAGAGGTTCCTTTTGTTGCTGCTGATGTTGTCTGAAGCGATTGGGGTGGAACGAGGACTTGGGGAGCTGGCGCAAGCGCGTGGAGTTGAGGCG